TTTTTTAATGTCTGTTGCCATTTTTTCTCAGCTCTCACTGGACCGATTTCTTTTAACAATACGTCAAAAGATCACAAATCGTATCTAGTTGAAGACATTACCCCTAAACATTGAAAAATTTTCCCTCGTTCCCCGCAAATGGGGGAAATATCCAAAAAAAATTACAAATTTAAAAATCGGTAAATTTTGTCATTTTTTTTTCACTTTTTTTTCTTAAAACTTCCATAACTTTTTCAAAAATAAACAAATCAACATAATGTTTTTTTATACTAAAACCTTAGATATTTCCCTTTCATTTGATATCATTTTTTTGAAAATCTAACACTTAACCTGCTCATTGGGGGGGATTTAAAATAGCAACTTTTTTACAAAAACTAACTTTTTCAACTTAACTTTTGAAAGTGTACCGGAAATACTGCGTCCTTTAAACATATATAAAATGAAAGCTTATTTTATGTACTATAAAATAAAAAAAAAAATTTGTCCCGACAACCTATCTTCTATGCGCAAATGGCTACCGTATTCAAAAATATGCTATTTTTCTATTAAAATTCTAGGTTTTGTATTTTATTTTATTTTATTTTAAAATATCCTATTAGGAGAATACATGGTGAAAATAGCTACCGTATTTAAAAATATGCTATTATTGTGTTAAAATTCTTGGTTTTGTATTTTATTTTATTATAAGGGGATTACACTGATTTTCATAAATATTATATCAATCTAAATGACATAGTATAAACAATTAATCATATTTAAATTTTTTTGTTTCTTTGAAGTCGAGAAAAATAACTTTAAAATTTGAACTGGCTAAATTTCCATTTTAATTAAGTGACGAATGAGACGTACGGTTTTTGAGATGGTAACACTTGGGTCTTTCACGACTGTGGCACTGAATTTTATTTTAATTCTTTTTGAGTTAAAAAAAAATGTTTAATTCATTTGATTTTTATCTCATTTAGATTCAATAACTTCAATAAATATCAAGGATTCCATTACTGTAGTCTCCTCTCGTGAGAAGAAATTCATATTAATATTATTTTACTATGTGGTTTTTTTTTTTGTAGCTATCATTTATTTTCTCAGCTCTCATTTGACCTACTTTTTTGACAAATTTTTTTTTTTTTTAATTAAACACCACTATCTACAGATTTGCATTGAAGCGTTTTTTATAATAGTGATTTTAATCACTATCAGATATCATCTATACTGGACCCATCTATGCCACGACCCCACTGTGCTGGGCAGGTTTTTTTTTAATAATGTCTGTCTTGGTAGGAGTTTTGGTTTTTCAATTTATTGATATTTCGGTTGAAACAGTTTTTAAATAAATTTAAAGTAATATAAATTTTCAATTTTTTTTAGTATCATAGAAATTTTGAGGAAGTTAAATTAACCTTTTTAGTTTTAATGTGAAGCTGAAAAGGTTTTGTATTTATCAAGATGAACAATTTTTTTTGTGTCTGTTCATAAAAAATCTCAGCTCTCATTGGACTTTTTTTCTGATTAATACTTTAAAAGAACTCAATTTTTGATCTTGTTAAAGATATTATCATCAAAATTGATTTTGAAAAAATTATTGAATAAAAATAGCTTTAATTTTAGTTATGTAAAAACTAACTTGAAATTCGTCATTATTCCTAATTCATTATTTAATATATCTATGACTTATATGATTTTTTAATAATATAAAATGTAAAAAATGAAGAAATATTTTATCTATGAGTTTCAATTGCTTTTTAAGTTTTCAAATACAGTTAAAAGATCAAAGTAAAAATTGAATGAAGTCTTTGAATGTAAGCTAAATGTATACATAATCCTATTTATAAATAAATAAACAATTATTGTTTCTTGAAAATAAATAGAAGTTATAGTGTAGGAATATTTTTTTATTATAATAGTTACAAAGAAAAAAAAAATGTTCTTATTTTCACATGTCTATTTTTCTCTGTTACATTAAATAAAAATCATGCTGAAATGTTGGTTTTTAAATATTTTTTTTTAGGTTTTAAATGGGGTTGGGTTTTAGAATTTTCGAAGAGTTTTGGTTCCTAGTCCAGATATTAACTTTAAATTTAAATGTAATATTAAGAAGCAAAAAAGCATGCAATTGCTTAAACTTGCAAGCCCTGTTCATTAGCAAATTCTTTATACATTTAAAATAGTTTATTTATGAATGATATTATTTATTGTATAATAAGTTTTTATTTAATTTTAGTTCAGAGATTCTTATGGCTTATATGATACAAGACCACCTGTAAAGGGTAATTCATATTATAACTATTTTGGGAAAAATAAATAATTATAATTTTTCTATATTTAAGCTGAACTTGAAAGTGCACGACCTCAAACTGCTGGTGAAGAAGAATTACAATTACAGTTAGCTTTAGCAATGTCAAGAGAAGAGGCTGAACAAGAAGAGCAAAAAAGACGTAGTGATGAAGTACGCTTGAAGCTTGCACTATCACAAAGTGAAAATGAATTTAAGTAAGTTAATTTCAAACCTTAAAATGCTTAAAAATGTAGTGATAATAAAACTCTAAGACATATTAAGTTGAAATGAGTTTGTTTTTAAATAACTAACAGACAATATTTAAGTAGTGGTTCTGACTCTGGAGCTAATAGTAGCAATGACCGAAGCAATAATATGTTAGACTTATTGGGGATTGACTTAGATAATACAGATAGTGATAAGAATGGTGCAACCACAGCAGTATCAGATCCATGGGGGATGCCAATAAAGACACAACCTCAAGTACTATATATTTAGTTATATTTATAGTTTAATTATAAAAAAATAATATTTTATAATAGCCTTTAAATTGGTCTAATGGAGATAGTTCCACATCAGCCCATATCTCGGATCCATGGTCACCGATTACACACAAGCAGCCTATTGCATCAGCCTCCCATGTTTTGCCAAATGTGCTAAATGAAAGTAAATTATTTTTTTAAGCTTTGTAAAGTATGCTTTGATAAAAAAAACATCAAATTAAATGTGAGTTATTGGTGTAGATGTAGATCCTTGGCAATCGACAGCTAGTGGTTTATCAGCATCTGATCCATGGGCACCTGCTACATCTGCTCATACTACCATTAATTCAAATCAAGAATTTGATGAATTTACACTTTTAGGAAATAGATCACAAACTAGTAAGTTTAATTCTTTAAATTTTTAATGTGTGCTTTGCTGTAAAATATTAATTTTTTCAGAATCAATCAATTCTGACCCATTTGATTTATCTCATATAAATAATGAACTATTATCTACTTCTACATCAAATTCAGGTAAAAAGACCCCTCATAGCTTTCTTGGAGAAAATTCAGCTTTGGTAAATTTAGACAATTTAGTAACTGCTCCTGTTAATCCACCAATGGTTACACAAGTGCGACCAACTGGTATGTAAATTTTGATTTTATTTATTTTTTTAGTTCTTTTAGTTTTCATGTGAAACATTGAAGGTATTAATTTTACTATGATATATTTATTTTTTATTAAGATAATGTACTGTGTATCTTTATTCCTACTTTTTTTTTCTTGAAAGACTTGTTGTGGACTGTTCAGCATTATCTAGAGGTGGCCTACATTTCCTAGTATAATCCTAACTTTTTCATTTCAAAAATATTAGGTCTTACCCCTCAACGTTGTTCATATACATGTAAAAATGAACCAAAAAACATTTCAGGTCGATCAGTCTATTTTATGTCGTGCCTGCTCGATATTAAAAATTGGACAAAAGGATAGTTTTTTGGTTATTTGAATATAACTCGTAAAAGCACTTGCAGGAAAAAAAACAAAAAATTAAAATATAGATGTAAATATTTTTTATAAATTAACTCTGATGTCCCCAGAGCTGTCTGCCCCAGGAGTTCCGCTTCCTCCTTGCGTCTCATCACAGATTCGATGAGCGCCTGAATCAGGACCAGATTGCTTCTTCGTAAGCATTAGGTCTACTATAGACCACACTTCGAACTTGGACTCTAAGTTTCGCACCGGAAAAGCGTATGTAAAGAATCGTCTACGTCTCCCGGACAAGCCTGACAATAGTTTTATACAACGTTTTATACTGTTAATAAGTTGAGGATTGCCCTGCATTATATAATGTTGTTTTTTCTATGGAGAAAATTATAATATTTTGACATCAAATCGGTCGATTTTAATTGATACCTATTAGGATTTAACCGTTTGCATATAAACAGTACCATACGGACGTTAAAGGAACCAAACAACTTCAATTTCCGTGGAAGAGTATACAACCAACTAGTAATATTTTACGTGTGACAACTATCTTACCTTAGGTAAAGACGTTAAACAAAAATTTTAAAAATATAAGTAAATATTAAAATATACCGGTAAGTCTTAGAAGATTTCTCTTAAGTCCAATTCTTCAATGCCATATCGCCATTTGATTTGATTACTTATAGTTAATCTTCGAATGTCGTGTGTCATTCATTTCATTGTATAAATGTTGTTTATGTATTATATATAAATACAGCCGCTGAAAAAATATAGTTTAATATTTACTATATATATATATAATTTCCCCAGGATATACCAATGGTATTAACTAACCTAACGGTTGTAATATATATATGTATAATACATCAAAAAATAAAGTAATTGAATGAATTTTACCAGAAAAATTAAATTTTTAAAACTAAAAATAATTTTCTAATTAAGTGCAATTTATTAAGTGTCTTACGTAACGAATTAAAAAAAAAAAAATTTAAAAAGTCAGTAAATAATTTTAAAGACAAAAAATATATAGAGTTAATTATATCTTCATATAGAATTTATATTCCTACATAAAAAACAAATACTAATAAAAACTTTAAATAATCGCATTAAACAATACGTTGATCTCAGTAAACGTTTTTATTTAGTGCTATTTTTTTTATTATTACTAACAAAGTTTATATGGTTTATTTTAAATATATTTTTGTGCAATAATATGAATTTTTATAACCGTTGTTTCGTATTAATCATTATTTTAACTCAATCACTACCATCAAATTTTGTTTCATTAAAATTAAGTAAAGATACAATAATTAAGTATCTGAATGATATACTTGTGAATTTGGATTTATGGGGTCAATTCAAGAATATAACCGTTAAATCAGAAAAACTAAAAAAATACACAGTTGGTGATATCTATGATAATGTCGAATATCAAAATTATATAGCTCAGCATAATAAAAAAATTGTTAAAATACCCGAAGAATTGCGTTTGACAAAATATTTGCATGTTAATTCAAGTAACTACGAATTTAAAATAACCTTAATTTATACATTTGTACGATGTAAGTATAGTGAACTAATTAAATTGATTAATCGGATTTTGTTTTACATGACGAATGATTATAAGAAATACTACGATGCAAAAATAATAAATCAAGAAAATACATTGAAATTAAAAATAAAGAACTTGCTTCTTATAAAAATTGAAGAATATAAAGAATTAGTACGTAAACTTCACATTTATGGATGTTTTTTAAAAAGTTTATTTCCCGAAGGTAAAAACGAAGTAAATGATACTGACTCATTCTATAAAAATCTGTTGTTTATAAGAAATATAAAATTACCAGAGAATGATAATTTTGCAGATTATCTGAAAACAACATTACAAATATCATTTAGCAAAATTCATGCTTATTCAAAAAATTATTGTGTTTTTTCAAGCAAACTTCCCCAAGAACAATCGTTTAGAAAACATTTCAATGAGCATAAATTCTATTCTACAAGTAAAATTCCTAGCTTTGCAGAATATCTGAGTGAATACATCGATTTAGCTATATCTTACACTTACGATTTGTTTTCACAATTTTCAACATTTAATGAACTAATATGACACAAAACGTTATAAATATCAATTATTAATATTTAATGTTTTATTTCTATTTGACGTGTACTTTAGTATGTTATGAGATTGATAGTAAATGTTTTTTTTCTAATATCAATAATTACTATACATTTATCAACAACATTTTTAAATACATTTATAATTAATATATCTAATTAGTTTAACAATTATGCTGTATCTTTGTTAATTTTAATAATTTTAGTTCGCATATGATTTCTTAGATTTTTTATGTGTTAAAAAAATGTTGATAAAAAATTGTTAATATTTTTCAACGCCGATAAAATAAATTTATTATAAATAAATTTACATTTTAAATATTTGATTCATACTTGATATTTGTCAAAACATACGTTCCTAAATATAACAAAGCAAATAATTTTTAAAACCATTTATTCCATTTATTAGAGCGTAATTTTACAAGTAAACATTCATACTATATAATTGATTTCACATAAAAACAGTAAATTTAAAATAGCTAAAAGAAAATATATAATATAGGTACTATATGAATTTGAAAATCTTTTTGTTGAATAGGTATGAGCGTGTTTAATTGACACCTAGAGCAAGTGATCTTCATAGATTAAAAAAGAAATAGTAATGTTTGCAAACTTATTTTAGATATATTTTTAAATAAATTAACCAAACAATAACTAATTTTTTAAAAATAATTTAAATGAACAATTATGTTTGTTATAAATCGCACGTATATCTTTTGTGCAAGAACGTTAAAAAATTATTGTTTTACGGTGTGAAATTTAACTTGAGAGTGAATAAAAATTCAAAATATTACTATTGCAATATCTCTAGAAAATTATCACGAAAAAAGTATTTGAAATTTTAATTCTTATTCAATTGAGGAGAATCTAAGGGGATTTTTGAATAAAAATAAAATGAGGAACGTTGGTTTTTTTTAATATGAAATATCTATAGGTGGATTTATCGACCGTAAAACACTTTTTTCGGATACTTTTATAAAATAAAACATTTTTGCAAAGGATAATATTGTTTGATTCAGATAACTTAACAATAATGTGTAGTTGGATAATTATCCCATAATGGATGAAAAATAAAATTCTAAAAATGCCTCATCTTCACTTTGCTGTACTTTATTATTTGTCATCTTTTTTGATTTTTAACGAACAGAAATATAACTTTTGATTAATTACAAAACTTTATTTTGATTACTATATAATTAAAAAACCTAGCACACTTTAATCACCCATAGAATAAAATCACTGTCATATAAAACATTTCTTAGCTAATCTGTCGTATTTAATTTTTAGGAGTTGTTCTATTATTTTAAATCTAATTTGTTTTCTTTATATATAATTCTGAATTATTAGTTTTATGATTTATAAATATAACACACGAATAAATACATTCTTCATCTACTTTTTCCTCGCGTTTATCCCAACTACTTGGGGCTAATTTGTAGAATTTTAATTTTTAGGAGTTATTGAATTATTCCAAAAGAAACATGAACTGCTATATACTTAATTATATTCTGATCAAGTTTTATGATCTATAAATGTAATACATGAATAAATACTTATTATAATAATTAAATTTAGTAAGAAATTGATATTTTATAATTTATTATTCTAATTTTTACGAAAAGTTTTAAGTTCTATACAAACCGATTCATTTTATATTAAACTCTCGATTTCTCTTAAAATAATAACTATATTAAGAAAATTAGTTTTAGTATTCTTTAATTTTATATATTTAATAATTTATTAAGTATTAAGTTTTTTCTCAATTAGATCATTTTTTATTTTATAAATTAGTAAAATATGTATATTACCATTAAAAAAATAAAGTTGACATACTTATAAGGTATAAAGGATGAATTAAAAAAATATAATTAATGTACGAAACTAAAAAACACCAATAATAATTTTGTTAAAATATTATTATTTTAATAGAAATCGAGTATATAAAAATGGCTAGTAAATGTATCTGTATTTTTTATTTTAATTTATCATAAGCCATTGGTAATTAGAACATATTTTTGGAAATAACAATCCTCTTCCTTTAATATACATATTGGATTGGCATTAAAAGTTATAAAAATTTTCCCTGAAAATATTTATAATTAATAATCATTTTATAACTTTTTTTTTTTATAAAGGGGGGCTTTAGATGTGGTAATTAACTCCTCCCTCTTATAGAACTTATACCATTTGATCTAATATATAGACAAATTAATTGAAAAAAAAATCTATATTGTTAACAAATCCTATTGAATTATATAATTATAGGATAATTCAAAAGTCATTATGTGATTATACATTAATATAACTCTGTACACTTGCTTAAAGCGGATTAATTTTTTGTGTAACACTAGAAATATAAATTTAATATTTTTGAACACTTATTTATATAGTGGTTAGTTATATTTGGGTATAGTTAGGAAATGCTAAAAAAAAAATTAACATTTTAACGAGATATAGAGGAATTTGAACCTAAGAACTTTCTATTACTGGTTGAGTGCTCTACAACAGAGCTATTACAAACGCTTAAATTTGCCTTTTTTCGAAGCATTAAGTTTTAATGATTAAGAAAAGGTGTTAATAAATCTTTGGGAATAATTGTTTAGTTTCATCCCTACTTTTAATAATTAGTTATCCATAAGAGAGGCAAATAATTTGTGAAATTCAATTTTCATTATTTCTATATCAAAAATATTGTCTAATATGTATATAACATAATGCATTTGTTCAATCATTGTTTATAGATTTTATTTATCAATAATTTCAGGTATGGTCAATCCTTTTGGTTTAACACCACAGCCAGCTTTTATGACTCAACCATCTACTACAACTTCAGCTTATGGTAATGCTTCTTCTTCATCATTGCCTCCACCACTTGTACCATCTCCTAATCCTTTTTTATCGTAGCAACTAAACAAATTATCTTTAAATTAATTCTTAAATAATTAATAATGGTTTGAATTTCTTTTATTATTGTTTCAATTTTCCAAAATTACACCTGTAAACAGTTTTATTTATTTATTTTTTTATCAAAATAACTATGAGATAAGATTAACATGAAAAGAGCTAGAAAATAACACTTGGAATTTAATAAAAATAAATAAATTTTAAGTTAAATATTTATGAAATATCATTGTTATATTTTGTAAGTATGGAGTAGTTTTGATCTATCAGAAATTTTAGTCTAGAAAGCATTTGTATAAAACTAGTGTTAACACAATTGGTAAATTATTTACAAAATTTTTTATTTTTTGTCACGTAATTAAATAATAATTTGTCCATGTATACAATATACCGCTATGAACTGTAAATTTTAAATTTCTTGATATTTCAATTACTAACTAGTGATAAAAAGAAATTTTCTGTTTTTTTTTTTTTACTTTAAAAATTGTGATTGTCCAAATAATTTAAAAATATAATTATTGTATTTATTTTTCTATGAATACTTCTAAGAAGTGGGGATGTAGTGTAAAAGTTTATTTATAAGTGAACCAAAACCTTATCAATATATTATATACATACATATATAGATCTAAGCATATATAATAATATTTATAATATGACTACAATTTATTCAAGTAAATTTTGGCAATTAAGTTTAAAATTATGTTGAACCATCTACTATTTGTAATAGTTAATTTTTTTAATTGATAAATTATACCCAATGAATTTTTTATTAATTAAATATATTATATTATTTTGTTATTTCTACAGTAAATTTATTTATTTATTAAAACCATAAAATTAGTTCGTTTAATTCATATATAAACAATATGTATATATAAAAATATACCAGATGTTCTTTTAATGTTAGCCACTCAATATCCCCTAAAATAATAATTATATTAAGAAAATTATTTTTCTTATATTTTAGGGCTATACAATTTTTCAAAATCATAGTTTTAGACAGCTAAATAAATGAGTTTCAAACCACTGTAGGTTATACTCCTCCTCCAGCCTTGGTGTAAAAATGTTAATTATTTTTGAAATACATATTAGTCCAAAAGTTGTTATTGACCAGTCATTGTTTTAAGTAGATCATTTTTTATTTTATAAACTAATTAAATGTGTGTGTTGCCATTTAAAAAAATAATGTTGACACCATTATAAGATATAAAGAGTAATAATTACTTTTTTAATTATTAAAAATGTAATTAATAACTGGTAAATCAAAAAATATATGATACTAAAAAATATCAAAAATAATTTTCTCAACATAATTATTATCTTTTTATAATATATATATAATTTATTTGAATCTGCGTTTACCATAAATTAAATTATTATCAACTCTCTTCTTTTAAGCACATCTATTAAATTTTAATTGGTAACAAATGGTCAATTATTAAAGAAATTCGCAAATTAAGGTGTATTGGAACCGTAGATACGGACATTTTCAGAAAACTACAATAAATTTCCTTGAATACTTATAAATTACAAAAAAGTTTTGAAAAAATATCACTTTATTCAAGATGGACCTTATGAACTGCCTTCCATTAATCCAAGCTTGCACATTTGAGATTATTTGAAGACGTATTTAAGAATTGAAAGAAGAAACTAATGTTTTTTCAGATATATTTTTGTTAAAATATAAACGCTTTATGATAAAATTATTGCATTTTTTATTACTCTAAAATTTAAAAGCACATTAGGTGTAAATTGTAAATACATTCACGGTATTTTAAAGATTACTACATCCAAGGCTTCTATATACGTCTCTGGAATAATTAGAAAAATAAAATAAATTAGCTGCATGACCATTTTAATTTTTTAGGGAAATGGGAAATATTCTATCATTTATGTCAATAAGAATTAAAATTAAACTTCTAGAGAATATTATATATTAATGAAATATAAATTAAAAAAGAAAACATTAATCAAAAGTTGACAACTCAAGACAGGGGCAATTTCTTTTTATGATTATTTTAAAGGAATGAAACTAAATTAATAATTGAGACGCTTATAAGAATAAGGGCCCTAAACAAATGTTCACTTTTTTTTTTTCAGGAGACAAAAAAACTTATTTAATAAATAAATTATTTTCACCACTTTAGAATCTTTATTCTATTTAAAATTAATTATTTCTTTTGATAGAATTTTTAGATCGGTCAATTGTTTTTGTAAGTGCTCAATTATTCAGGGTTTTTTTTATTTAATATCTAAGTATAAAATTGATATTTTCATATTATGTATTTAATAATTAGATACAAAAATAAAAAAAATTGGCGAACAGCCATCCATAGTGCATATTCAGTCAAAACATTTTATGCATTTTACTCCTCATTTTTAGCTCCCCTACTTTTTAAATAATACTCTAGTGGAACGTGAAACTACCACAAATATAACGATTATTACACTAAGAGGAAAAGAATTGCCCGTAATGGTATTCACCACTACAGTCTTTGTTGTCAATCAATAATTTACAGACCGCATTGTACAACACATATACGGCCTTAATATACCACTCCTTCCCCACCTATAGTTATGCACACGTCATCCGACCGTCCTTGGGCAGCGCAACCGAACAGCTGATTCACTGCCCCACAGTCGAATAACTGGATAAGTATTTTTTATTACGGCGCAGTTGTTTTGTGCTTTTGCACGTCGTGTCTTGTAAACATTGCGTATCTGTATATTTATTAATATTAGATTATAATATTAATTAAATTTTCTTCATTTTTAAACGTAGAATTTGCTCTTATTTAGTAGTCAACGTCACAGCGTTTTAGCACAAAATTAAGTGAAATTTCTGTATGCCTTTGTCAAAATACTTAAATTCTAGTTTAAGTGGGAACGTTCGTTATGTCTGACGGTGAAGGATCAGCACAGTTGGCGACTGTGGAAACAGGACAAGTCGAATTGGAGCAGCAACAGAATATGAATATTACCAAGGATGATGATGAACCTAATCCAAAAAAATTGAAACTGTCTAGCAGTAATGCTGGAAACGGCGGAGGAACTGATGGCAGGCCCGTACAACAGGCTGGTTCGGATAAGTTAGAACATAGGTTGGGTGGCATATTATGCTGTGCAGTGTGCTTAGACCTCCCCCGATCAGCTATTTATCAAGTAAGTTTATAATTTAATGATACTAGATTTTATAAACGCATGCTTTCTATTTCGGTCATTACTGTTATTGTTCAATCCGCTGTTCGTATATACAAAACAATCACAGCTGACTGGGTCAATGACTTTAATTGCGCGGAAATTTCGATCGTTTTTGTACATTTATCATGTTTTATGAATAATTTCGATGTTTTTTTATTTGAGTCGTATAAATTATTTATATTATATTTATTTTATATCTCGATTTTATTATATATTACTCCAACTACTAATATAAATAGACAAATGCACTTTAGTTCCCACACAATTTTTTCGATTAATTTTTTTAAACTGATTATGAATATGCAAAAATAGTTAAAGATTATAGCATATAACGCTATATTAAAGTGCATATACATTAAAATACCATTCAGAGTGATGGATCAGACTTGTTAGGTCACTGTATCTTTCAATCTAACGAGTAATTATGTTGGATTAGGCTAGAGTTTCTTCTGGGAGTTTGGGGGTGTGAGCCCCTTTCACGACAGTTTCAGAAGTATTTCAGTCAATACCAAAGCCAGCAGACATATGGGACTTCAAAATTTGTTTTAATTAATAATATTTGTTTGAAAAATCACAAAAAATAATCCAATGTCTTCCATTAGTTTAAAAAAAATTATATTTATATAATATAATTAGTCTTTATACTTCCCACTTAATCGCCTTACTTATTGCTAACTTAAAAAATGTTGAATGAAAATATTGTTAAGGAAATAAAATATTTTATAGTAGATACTAAAGAGTGCAGCTAATAATTAAGGATTCATATGGATAAAAAAAATTTAAAAAATTGGATAACATCTTCATTATGAGATTTTTGTGTGTAAAAAAAAAATATTTAGTTGAGTAGCATTCATAAATTCAACTAGATAAATACTGAACAATTATTCATATAATCTAACCTTTTTTGGACCTTTTTTTTCCAATCATTAAAATTGCCTAATAGAAAGTTAAATAATATAAATTTCCAATTTTTTGGTATATTTTTGTTTACTTTAGCGGAAGAGTTCAGATTCTGATATCTGTAATTAAAAAATTGCAAAATTGAACATTTATAAAACTAATAGTAGCTGAAAATTATTCTTATATAGTTTAAATGATTGTTATAGTAAGTTTATGAACACTTTCTAAAACTAGGATATTCCTAAAATATTTTATTGTTACAATTTTTTACCCATAAGTTATTTGTTGATAGTGTACAAATGGCCATTTAATGTGTGCTGGATGTTTTGCTCACTTATTAGCTGATGCAAGATTACGGGATGAAATGGCTACATGTCCAAACTGTAGAGTTGACATAGCAAAAAACACAGCAACACGTAATCTTGCTGTTGAAAAAGCTGTCAGTGAATTGCCAGCAGAGTGTCAATTCTGCGCTAAGGAATTTCCTCGCAATACTTTACATCATCATGAACAACAACTTTGCTCTGAAAGGTAAGTTAATATTTGTTCATAGATTTGAAATTACTCATAACAGTAATTTAAATCTATGTTTTTTAGACCAGTAAAATGTGGATACAGTAAAATAGGTTGTCCATGGCGTGGCCCAAGTCATGAAGCATCCGAACATGAAAAAGTTTGCCCTCATCCATCTGCTTCTGGTAAAGATGTTATGTCTGCTTTAGAAGCAATTGATCAAAAATTTCAAGAAGAAAAACTCTTATATGATACGATTTTTGATTTAATGAGTTTTGAAAAAATTACATTTAATGGTAAAATAAATCAAGCAAATTTAAATTAATTAAACTTTTTGAAATCTAATTAAATTAAATTAATTATGTTGCTATTAGATCTGCAATTGAAACCTTATAGAACAGAAGAATTTGTGCATAAATTGTATTATGAAACTGCCAGATTTTCAGCATTCAATTTTCAGTGGGTTGTGAAAACACGGATTAACAATATGCAAAGAGATCCAGCACTTAGTGTAGATCGTCATATGTCTTATCAGGTAAATTATACATGGTAATTATTTTACAAACAATAAACCTTAATAAATATAATATTGAATCCTTGAATAATGCTATGTAATTATTGATTGACATTTAAATTTTAATACTTATTATTTTATAGTGAAAAATGGTAAGTTTTGTGTAGTTATAAAATAAAGTTTTTGAATTTTAATTTCTTTTATCTAATATGAATCATAATTTGCGTAAAACTCAACCACAAATGTCCATGTGCGTGTCCATCCTTTTAGCGTTAGGTAACAAACAACTTTGGAATTCACTCAATACCATACTCTTGTAATTTTCAATCTAAACAAATACAAAAACAACTGGGATAATGCGAACATTGTGTTGCTAGACAAGACTATATTTAATTTAAAACATGTTCCAATGTCAAGATACATCATCATATTCTTCTACAACTTCATGGTATGGACACTCAATTCAATCTATCGCTGAATCTGGCACATACACAACAAAATCATTTTGCCATCTATAAAATATATTTATTTTTTTGTTTTTGCCTGTTTCTCTTCTTATGCCATATCCAGACAAATTAATCATTACTGCTGAAGAAACAACAACTGATCATTGAAATAGAGATGGCCAATTTGGATCAAACCAATGGAATTAATTGTATAAACATTTTTGTTTTTTTCTTCATTTATAAAGTAAAAAATTTATGGATTAATTTCACGTTAGGCTATTTTGTATTATAATATTTTAAATATTGTATTTTTTTTTCTTTTATTTAATAAATTTTTATAATAAATAATAGTTAAGAATATATTGGTAAGTTTAAAAGAGTAAGTTGGTTGAATAAAGCTTATTTTAATTGTGTACTGGTAAGTCTAACCTGTTATAAATTAAAAGCACTGATAATAATTTGGGTTGAGTTTTTATTTTTCAGGTTCAATTGGATTTATATGATAATAATTTATAATTTGTCACTTATATTTACAAGATTATTTTAGGACATTAGTTTTACTGTCTCATTATTCTAATGAATAATTTTTTTTTTTTATTCATTCCTCCATTTCCTTTGCACAATGAATTGTCTCATGGCCGTGCTTGCAATATGATAAACAGTTAATATTGAAAACAAAATCAGCTACACCAATGACTGTCCATTATTTAGTGGTTAAAGGGCCCTTTGGAGATATGAAGGTCAACCCAAAAATTTATAAATTTGAATTCAATGAAAACGAAACAGAAACACAGTTTGTAACATTACCTTTGCCAGATTCAGCTGAATGCAATCGGTTATTGGCTGCTAAAACCATTAATATTAGGTAAGTAATAATTAATTAATGTAAAATTATATTTTTAATTTTCTTATTAATATTAAACAATATTTTTCAGATTGATCATGTTTTTGGTTTCTAAGTAACTGGCTAAACTGTACAAATAGTTTAATATATATTTAAAAATTATCTATCACTGTTTCCATGTTATTATTTTAATATTTTTCATTATTTATTTAGTTGTAGATATATCAAGCTTTTCTTTATGACTAATTATGTTTAGGCTAATTTTTTTGAAAGTTTTAGAGTTTATTTTAATTTTGTTTTATTGTTGACATCATTCCTTTATTCCACTTTGCCCTAAAGCACATTTATCTTCCTTAACGTATTGTATTTTATTAATATTTTATTGGACATAAATAAAGTAATATGATATTCTAGTTTATTTATTTGTGTATTATTATTTAGATTTTTTAAATTATATAAATTATCTTATACATCAACTTTTGAATACCATGTTATTCTTTATAAAGTTGATATTCTAAAAGATACACTAATGACAAATTTTTATTTCTTCTTTATCTAAAATATTAGTTTTTTAGAGATTCTTCATAAAAATAGAAATTAATTACACAATAATACTTCCCACAGAATTCATATATAAACTCATGGTACCAATTATACATTTTTAAAATATACATATAATTTTAGAAGATTTTCTTAATTTATTCATAAATTATTGAAAATATAAAAGCGAGTGTAAGTAGAATTATAAGGCAACATGCATCTTAAATATTGACATGAAATTTCAGAATAATTTAGTCTACTACATTTGTTAAAAAGTATTATCATTATTAATTTAATCCATTTTTTTTAAGTCAATAAAATCTATGTTTTCCTATTATAAACTATTTGATAAAAATAATCTTATTTAATTTAGTAAGGTACTATCTTTAAATCATACTACTTGCAATTACTTACACTTGAATAATCAATACTAAATTAAATTAAGTGTAACCCAAATGAAAATTAAACATTATTACATAGCACATGTTTATTACAAAATATCCCATACATATATATAAATAATAACAAAAACTTAAAAATATTATAAAAAGTATAAATAAGTCATAATAACATTAATAATTCATGTAACTAAAACCAGATACCTTAACCCTCAATTTAATTTGATCCGATAAATCACAATAATTTTTTTAACAATCATAATATTTACAATTTTGCTTCAGTATTTAGAGCTTTTAGTTTTTGAGCTAACATGATATTTCCCTTTACTTTTAATTTTCCTTTCATAAATGCCATTTGAGGATTTAATTTTCCAAGAGCCTTTGAACAAAACAAAATGATTATTTTTAAATAAAGAATTTTGTGAAAAATAAAAATAAATTACCAAATCAATCATATCTGTATCATCAATGGTTAATGTTGTATCTGCTTTAACTCCTTTTTCGGGTTCTCCTTTGTATATTTTTCCTTTTTTTAGATCAGCAGCTACAATATAATAAAAAAAATTATTAATGAAATTAATGACTATCAAACTAAAAATTTTTAATTTAATAATAACCTACTCCAAGATCTGACAGTTTTTCCATCTTTTGTAATGTAATACAAGAATATACCATTAATAGTTTTAACTAAACTAGGATTCAAATCTATACGTTCTTGCATTCCTTGAAATACTGCATCACTAAGTACCTCATCTCTAGTATCAGCACATAACACTAGGTGTGCTTCAGATGGAATATTAACTTTGTGTAATTCCATGTAAGCGCCTAGAATAAAAATACAAAAGTAATAAGATTCTATAATAAAATAATCTCACTAAAAAGGTTAACAAAATATAAAAATATTTAAACATCAAATAACATAAAAAAGATTTTCTGTATATTTAATGACTAAAATTCATTATTATTTTATTAATTATTAGAAAATACATTATTTTAAAGCATTAATTACTATTTTTTACTAAGAGAAAATAATTCAGCCCTAAATTATATTTTATAAATTTATAATCATTTAATATAATTGTAGTTAGGTTTTTTATGAAAAAATAATAAAGAATTTTTGAAATTCATAAGATTTAAAACATCTAATTTTTGAATGAGTTACTACAAATAATTGTACCTTGTAAAAATAATATCAACATAGAAAAGAATACTACTTATGATAATAAATAATGTTACTATTATTAAAGATAAAATAATATAAAATTGTAATAACATCATAAATTGTTTTTTTTTTACTTAACATTTTTTAAACTTTATGATTAGCACTTATATAAACATTTATCTTCATTTGATAATAATAATATGATAATATTATTCAAAATAGTTTAAAGGTCAATTTTCGAGTAATATACATTATTATTAATTCAACACAATAAATAATTACACTGTACAACTAATAATAAAAAATTGTCTGTGCCAATATGTTTGTAGTAATGAATGGAATTTAAACAAATCTACCCTGGATTTTTCAAAATGATTCTAATTTTTCAAATAATTGCTAATTAAAAACATGTGTAGTGGGTTAAACTTGAAATATAGATATCAAATTTTGGTAGTACCTCTTAAAGTTTTAAATAGGGTTTTTTGAAAAAATAATTTTTTTCTGGTTTAACAATAAATTAATTACCTAATTATCTGATTTTCACTAATTAATGAATATCTCAAAAACTAGTATTAATCTGAAAAATCTAGGGTCAGATTCAAAAACAATGTTAAAATTCCATTCAGAATCTATTATCATATTGTTTAGCACAAATGTGTTGTGTAGTGTTATTATTATACTAAATATCTTAGAAAGTTATTAAAAACCTGAATAAATGTTAACAAAATACAATAATTTTATTATATTTTATACATTTTCTATAGTACAATAGTAGTGTTATACTAATAAATAAATAAAATATATTACATTCTTCTAATATAGACCACGAATATCATTCAATTTCATTAATAATAAGCTGAGTTTAATAATTTATGATTGATTATACTAACCTGAGAGAACAATATTGTTAGTTTCTTTAACAGTTGTAATGAAATGAATACGGTTCCCTTCCCTCCACATTGATGTACACAATGTTTGACCTGGTATAACTGGTTTACTGAATCTTACCTGGAAGGCAAAGTAATAATGTTAAAGCATTTATTAAAGAAGGAGTAAACTATAAAGTTTATAAAAATTATAGCAAGAATTAGCTAATAGCAACACAAATTTCATTAAATACATATACATAAATTTATGTTAATATCAGTAATGAATGATAACAAAATAATTGATATATTTACCTTCAGTGCTTTAAATTGTTTTGGATCATTATTAGCATATTGTTTTAATATATGTCGAACTGATACTCCTAAAGTAGCTAATCCATGTAAAATAGGTTGTTGATAGCCAGCAACAGTTGCAAAAGATGGATCTATGTGTAATGGATTTAAATCGCCAGATAATCTATAAATTGCTGCCTATAACATAATGTAAATAAACAAAACTAAAAAAATTCTAAAATATAATAATAATGATTAACATAACAAGTAGCAAATTAAAAATGAAAAAAACAAAAAAAATTTTAGCTTAAAAAAAATAAAAATATACATAGGAATGCTTCACTTATTTTAGAAATTATTTATAATATAATATCTTGATAATAACTACTAGGAATTTTATTATTGATTAAATTCTAAAATTATTTTAATTTACTTGATCGACAGAAGTTTTTTCAACAACTGTGGAATCTGGTATTCGATTAGGTTCATCAACCACTGGTACAATTACTGATGAAGCACGTTTACCACCAAAACCACCAGCTGATAATACAAATGTACATATTTGAGTTGTTGCAATTAATTCCCCAAATTCATCATATGTTTTTCCTAAAATTCAGATAAAAACAGATAAGATAATTTAAAAATTAAATATTACAAGAATATATAGATATAATAGTTTCTATACTAATTTCCAACAAAATATTTGTTGGTGTACCATATAATAGTTATAATAGTTGCATTAATTTATATAACTATTGTTCATAAAATACCACAAAAAAAAAATTTGGATTTTTATAAAAAATAAAGGGTACTATAAAGGAACTATTAGTATATTTTTTTGTGAAAGTAAAATTTCATTTTTTTTCCCCTAAAAAGTATTTTGTATAACATTTATCTTTCAATTGATGAAGAATTGAACCCGCCCAACTAATTTTTCTACCATCATAATTTTATATTTTTATACTTGTTCATTAAATGTTATTTTCTTACCAATGGTAGATACAAAATATATACCAAGGAGAAATCATTGAAGTTAAATTTCATTATGCCCTCTCCTTTAATAAATACTAAAATTACCTAAAATATCCAATACTACATTTTTTAATTTTAGAGGGAATATTTCTTATGACTATTCTTATGTTTGTACCTGCTCCTGGATTTAACAAAAAAAGAAGCAAAATTTGTAGTTTTAGCTTCGATGCAAAGCTGAGAAGGGGTATTAGTTTTAGTATGATGTGTGTCTTTTTTTTTTTTTGTACCTGTTACCACTTTTTCTCAGCTCTTATTGAACCGATTTCTTTTAAATAATATGTCAAAATATCACAAATCGTATCTAATCAAAGACATTACCCTCAACATTTTTTAAAATATTCCGCGTTCCCGTAAATGGAGAAAATATCTAAAAAAATTACAAATTTAAAAATTGCTAATTTTTGACATTGTTCAATTTTTTTTACTTAAAACTGCCATAAAATTTTTAAAATGACCAAATCAATATAATTTTTTTTTTTACCTATTATTTGGTATAATTTTTTTATAAATCTGAACCTTGACCCTCTCACAGGGGGGGGGATTTGAAATGACAACTTTTTGACAAAAATTTACTTTTGAAAGTGTTCCGGAAAGTCTAACACTTTTATATATATCTTAAATTAAATCTAATGTACTATAATTTATTATGGAAAAAAAAATTTCGGATTTTATTTTGTCTTCACGTTGAAAATAGTTACCAAATGTTATTTTGGTGTGAAAATTCTCGATATTATATTTTACATTTTTAACTTTATAATGCTATAACTTATTGAAAAGTTTATGGACCAATACAATTTTTTTATGGGAAATAATATTTATATCCCTCTTTCATTCGACATACTTTTTTTTTTAAATAACACCATTTCTCTTTATATATTTATATATTATAAATATATTCAAATATTACACTTATAAATCATAAAACTTGTAATAAGGATATAAATAAGGAGATAAGAGATCATGTAGCTTTTGGAATAATATATCAATTTTTTAAAATTGAACACTATCTAAAGATTTGCAATGAAGAGTTTTTTATGATAGTGATTTTAATTACTGTTAGATATCATTATACTTGACCTAACTATGCCATGTCACCATTATGCTTCAACCTCCTTATATTGGGTTATTTATTTTATATAAATCGAAGAAATATTTTGCCCAACAAATGTCATTACTTTAAGACTAAAAATTATAAAAATATAATAACAATGGAAATATTAAAAATAAAAACAATTATATCACCTATATAATTATGCTAAAATAGACTTATTTTTAAAAACTTCTATCATATAGGTCTAAACAATTATATCTTATATAGAAAGAAATCTTAGAAAGTTAAAATATTTATTACCGTCAACAACAATAACTGCATTTTTGCCTTTATCTAAAACATCAGAAATATTTATTTTAGATACCAACTTTCCATCTACAGGCATAGGTTTATGGAGCTCTAAATATTGTTCACCATGTAATACCTAATCAATATAAATTTTAAAAAGCAATGAAATGTGTGAATTAATAAATTTTAGTAATGTAATAGAATGAAACATTTTCAGTGTTGTATGATAATTTAGTACCTGTGATAAATCAAATTCTTTACCAGGTATTGCATTTGTCACAATATCACTACTCATTGTAGCCATTAAGCTTGGCAAAATTGCATATGAAGGTAATACTGAAAAATCTTCATGTGATTCATATAAGTATTTTAAGTCACTTTCTTCTCTTACAGAAGCCCCAACTAAGAAAAATTTTAGAACATTATTTTGAAAATAAATAAAAAAATATTATAAATAATAGTTCTATAAACTTGCCACCAATTGCATACAATATAGAGTCTCTATTTGTAAAACAAAATACACTATTTGTATCATCCATTGATTGTTGAGAGCCAAATTTAATATTATCTAATACAGTTAATAGAGTCGAAGAAGCCTCCTAAAGTATTTTTGTAACATTTTTTAATGAAAACATATATAAAAAAATAAAATTTCACAAGCATACTTCAATAGATTCTAATCTTGTAGCCTGGGACATATCAGTCAATTGACACCAGACATCTCGAACATTTTCTGGAAATACTGTATCTGTAATTCTATGTCTCAACAAAGATCCTTTTCCTCTAACCAAATGACCTTCAACAGTTTTATTGTATTAAGTATTTTAAAATGACATATAATAAAAATAATAAATTATATGATAATTTACATTTTGTAGCCCATCCTGCTGCTGATTCAATAATAGATCCATTTTCTGTACAGTCTTCATGGCAAAGCCATACAACAACCGGTGCTATAAGTTCAGGTTTTAACTCAGCAAAAAAATCTATAAAAAAAATAATTCAACTTTTACAAAGAGTTATAAAATACTTTAAGAAATTAAAAATAGTAACCTGGGGGTAATATATCTTCAGTAAGGCGAGAAGCTGCTGTTGGTACAATAACATTGCAATTTATATTATTTTTACGACCTTCAATTGAAATTGTATTACATAGACCAACTAAGCCCAATTTTGCAGCTCTTAATAACACATATAAAAATAATAATAATTATATAATTTTGTATATAAAATTTCTTACGAATAATTGGCCTGTCCAAAATTTCCATAAAGACCAGAATTAGAACTAGTGAAAATAACTCGACCATAATTTTGTTTACGGAAATGGGGCCATGCAGCTTGAGTAACTTTAAATGCACCTTTCAGATGAACATCATGAACCAAATCTGGTATAATTTTAAATATGTTTCAGTATTTTTAAAAATATATTTAAGTAATATTACTTACTCCAATCTGAATCACTTATTCGAGCAAATGACTTATCCCTCAAAATTCCCGCATTGTTTACAATAACATCAATACGTCCATAATTATCGAGCGCTGTTTGCACTAATTTATCACCATCAACTACAGAATTATAATCAGGTACAGCTTTGCCGCCTATGTATAAAAAGGAATGTAAATGTTTGAAAAAACTTTATTATTTTAAAACTGCTAACATCAAGATTTTATTTTATAAGCTAGGTACAGCAATCAAAGTAGGGGATATGAAGAGATGGCATCCCTTTACTTTCTTTAATTTACAATTTTCACCCCTCCAAATTTTGTACAAAATAATACACCCCTTTAATATTGTATTACATACATTAAACTTATCTATATGTATATATATTTAACAATTGCAAAGTATCATAGGAGACAACAAAAATGAAGGACATCTCACCACTTATTTTGAACCATATCAACCATTAACTAGGTATCAATTATAAAATATTTAATAATACCACAAATTAATATTATTTCATTAAAGGAGACCCATTAAATATTTAGACAATCAATTTACCATTAACAATAATTTCAGATACAACTGTATCAGCAGCTTTAGTACTACTTCCATCACCTGATCGACTACCACCAAGATCATTCACAACAACAGATGCTCCTCGTTTGGCAAATAATAATGCATATGCTCTACCTAAACCTAAATAAAAGTTATTATTATTATAAATATTTAAGTTAGTGTTTTTGTTTATTATTTTAGTAGGTATAAATTTACTATAGTAAAAATAATTATTCTTATTATCCTCAGTTACACTTTCTTTTTATGAAATAAATTTTTTTTAATTTTATTTTTTTATAAATTTTATTATTTTTATATCAATCTCTGAACTCTAAAAATAAATATTAAAGCTTGTGAATTTTTTATAAACTTAAAAAAGAAAATGAAACTCATTCAATTATTAAATAAAAAAAACATGAATAATAATACGGATTATATACCTGCTCCAGCACCTGTAACAATTACAACTCGTCCATCAAATCTTAATTCATTCATTTTATTCGTAGAAAATGAACTAAATAATAAGATATTTAGATTTCGAATGAATAATTTTTTTTTAAGTAAATGTCTAATTAATATATGATTAAATGTAAAAAAAAGTATTTATATACTATATTTCAGACTATCGAGAAATGTTTGAAGTGTATGAGTTAATACGAGTGACGAATAATTAATTAAAAATAGAACTGATAATAATTTGGTTGTAATAATTAACAATCAATCCTCAATACTATCAAAGATGAAGCTGTCTTATAAAATTATAAGAAATTATATTTACATTGATAGAGATTATTAAGGTGTACGTAGCTACATGAAAAAATTTATTATCAATATCTTTTTGATAATAGTTAAATGTTTAATACATTTATATATATATATATACATTTTTTTTTTAATGTTGGTCTATTCTAGAATTTGATTGCTGTTATGTAATTAGTATTAATTATGCATACATGAATGGTTAACCTGTAACTTAATGTTAACAAGTTTTTATTGTCACTCAATATTACTATGTAAATAATTCTTTCGTCGTCTGAGGAAAATTCTCAAAAGCCTTCCAATCTAAAATTCGATCCATTCCGTATTCTTAGTTTGTTTTAAATAAATTATAATTATGGAACAGATATATGCATTTATACATTTTTAATTGGCTACTTTAAAGAGATCCAAGTTTGTGTAACTTAATTGTAGGAATATATAATTGTATAGAAATAATTTTCGTTATAGGAGGGCTTTAGTAATAAGCGTTTTACTCGAAACAAACTTGAAATACGTTGAGAAACATCAAAAGTTAGAGTACATAACCTAAAACCCAACCAGGATTTAACATCCCAACAACTCCAACTCCTGATGAGATGCCAGCAAAAATTCCTAAATGTTGTAAATAATCCCCACTCATACACCCAACACCATATAGTAGTCCAAAACTCAATTCTCGCAGATTAAAATTTCGCTTTTGATACATGCAAAAAGATTAACCTAGTTATGAAATATTGATTTTGATATTTTCCTTAGAAATAATTTTGAATTTCAAGGTCACACTTGTACTCGTTTGTATAGCTATTTAAAGTTTTGATTTTAGACAATATTTTAGACTAAATAAAACAAATATAATTTAAAAAAAATATACAAAAATTATATTTAATATAATTTGTATGATCAGATATGTTGATTCTATTATTAGTTTCTGAATAAATCATACAAAAAATGTATTATTTTTTTAAATATTTAGAAAAAGTAAGGAGCAAGGTAGTGTTAAGTAACATTCTATTATTATCATAACACACAGATAAAAATTCTTCTATGCATCATGCTCATCTATTACTAAAAATTATAACAACATAAAAAATAATAGTACAAAACTAGTTATCGACTATTTAAAATTTTATTTAGGATAGTTTTTATTAAATAATAATAATAATAATAATAGGTTTTCATTTAATTTTCGAAAGTTACCTAAAATCTTCTCTTAGGATTATTATTATTTTTTTCAATAAACTTTATATTTATAATGGTTAAAAAAAAAAATATTAAATTTTAATTAATACGTTTTTTAATAAATCACACTGTATGTATAAAATGAGTGATATTTAGAGAGACATGATTATCCTAATGAACGTACATAGTTTTAAGAAAAAGATACATAATAAGTAATAATTAAAAATGGCATAAATAATTTTTGACATGGTTATGTATCAGTAAATTTTTTGATCAGGCAATACACATATAATATGACATCGGTGACACTGCAATCAAGAAATTTAAGTCCAAAATAAGTTAATTATATTTTTATTGTTAAGGTGTACATTTATGTGTGTACAATATATGGACACATGTACATTGTACAGAAGTCATGTATATTGTGATCAATAACCACGTAAATGTTAGATATTTAGCTAAACGCGTTAGTTAATATATCAACATTTAAAAATAAAAAAAAAAACACAGTCGTGATCATCAAATTGTTATGTATATATTTATAAAATATACAATAACTTAATTTATAGTTGAATTTTTAGGTTTATCAATTAATGATGCTAAATAACGAGCTATTTTAAGATCAAATTCTGTATCTATTTCCAAACTTCTTTCTGGGGGTATAACAACAACACCTATCCTACAAATAATAATTATATAACTTTTATTTATTAATTTTTGATAAATTTTATGATGATTCTTACTTTCCACCTTGTAGTCGATTTTGAACAATAAGATTTCTGTGTACAAAATAAAACATTCCATTTTCTACATATTCGCCTCCCCAATCTTGTCTTCTTGGTCTTTTAGTGACATCAAAATTAATAGCATGTAAATGTCCATCTAATTATAATGTCTAAATTTAATTTAAGCTGTACAAAGTGGAAACAAACAATAATCTTACTTGAGTCTAGTGTCCACCTTAATTTATGACTTCGTGAGACTGAGAATACAGATTCAAATTTTTGCTGTACAGTCATTTTGTAGGCTTTTTCTAAGTAACTTGTACTTAAAAAAGGTGAGGTACACTGAATAATAGCAAAAATATTAATTTTCGGATGATACATACTGAATTCTTTTACTGCACTTAATGAGGTCGCTTCATCTGAAGCAGTTTGTGAATTACGATAAAAAACTTTAGCCTTTCCTAATTCGGCTTCAGCTGCAATATCATTGTCGTCAGTTGATACCCAAATATCATGAAATACTATATTAACAAATTTTTATTATGTAATAATACCTGTTAAGTTAAATGTTTCTATTAAATAAAATTAAAATTTACATCCAAAGTCGTGAACTGTATCTAATGTTCTTCGTAAGAGTGAAACATTTTGTATTTCCACAAGGTTCTTTTTCAATATTCCTTTACTACCACCTCGAGCAAGTATTAAAGCTGTTACATGTGGTCTATAAATTAAATTTTTGAGTCCGATTTACTATTTTTAAAACTTTACAAGTATAAAAAATATTCTGACATAACAATAAATTTTAAAAAAATTGTAATATTTAATTAGAATTTTTTTTTTTATAAAATCTATTAAATTATTCAAAAATTTCAATTGTATTATAAATTAGTTAACTTGAAAAACAAATATTAAATAACTAAATGTTTTTTATAAGACAAAAATCGTCATATAGTTTATATTATATTATGCATACTTATAATTATTTAAGTAGTTTTGTTCATATGTTATATGGCTCCATAACATATATATTGGTACCATAAATAGAACTATACTAACTAACAGCACAAGTAGTTGTGAAAAAACAGTTATTATATGGTGGTTCCCTAAAGTCATACTATTTTTAATTTAAAAATATTAACTCATCTTAATAATAATATTGTTTGATTTTGAAAAAAGTTAACTCCAAGTTATTGCTCCACCACAGTGTAAAAGCTTAGTTATCAATTCATTCACAGTAAGAGTACAGCAGCATAGTATTGACCCATAAAAGTAAAGCTTCTGAGTGGTTACCATGGTAATAGTATAGAGTATATGGATTGTTCAAAAATGAATATAATTTAGTAAAAAGGTTAAAAATAACTTTATTAAATTATAATTGATGTTTAAAAAATATATTGGTTACATAATTTGAATTAAGATACAAAAATAATATTATGTAAATATAATTAATATTTAAGTATTTAACTTATAAGTACTAACCATCACCTTCAACATTTGATTCTTCAAACATTTGATATTTAGGTTAATTTTGAGTGGATTTTTTTATTATTTAACTAAAATTAAAATTATTATACAAATACAAATCTAAATAATATTTACAAAATTAGTTATTGTAAAATATACACAGCATAATAAATAAATAATTTGTATATAAATAAATAAGTAAAAATCCATAATAATAAAATTCACGATTTTAGTGGTAAATAGGTTTGAATCATAAAATGACTGGAACCTAGTGCATATTATAATATACAATGTTACAACTAATATTAATTAAACATTGGAGTAATAATTATAAAATGTATAATCATATTAAAAAGAATTGACTAATATAAATAAATATGTGTGTGTGTGTGTGTGTGTGTATATATATATATACACATACAATATACAAATTGAAGAAAAACATTTAGTTGAAAAGAGATCTTTTTATAAAATTCAATTAACATAATGTCTTTTAACTTTAGGTACATAATTTTTACAAAAAATTAATACTGTTAAGTATAAAAATATAACACTAATAAACAAATTTTTAACTCTTTTATAAATGGAATGTCTTTGAAGAAAATATTCTAATAGTTAAGAAAACAAAACAATATAATTATTTTAACTGGAGATTATTACATTATCAGTTTAAAATTGTTTGCTTAATTATCACATAATTTACAATTTGTTGTTTTGTATTAGTTACAAATGGGCAAAAATATTTTAAAACAAAATTAATATTTTATTAAAAATTACAAAATTAAAAAGCGGTGGGGATTTTAAAAATACTAATACTAATGAAAAATATTATATAATTGTAAAAATAATTCAAGTCTATAAAATTATATTATGTTAAGGCCTTGGCACTGATTTTAAAAAAGCTCTTCAATCAAATTTAAGATGATGATACATAACAATAATTATTAATTATAATTAATATGATAGAACTAAACAAATGATTTATAATACTTTCCAAATATTTGTAAAATATTACAGGTCTATTACCTGAATAACCAGGTACAACTGTAACAATATACACATTTTGAGTCATATTAATATTACATTTTTGTTAGTAGTTAATAACTAGATGTTAAAAATTAGTTCAACTTTGTTAATCATATTGGTTGAATTGTATGGCATGGATTTAAAATATAAATATTTGGTCATATGTGCATACTTCATTGACTATCACATTATGCAACTGTTTCTACTTCAAGATCCTCCATTAGAGCTAATGGTGCTCTATTAATCTATAACAATTTATAATTTAAAAGATTAAAAAAATGTTTCAATAAAATATTTATTTAATTAAAAAAAAAAAAAAAACAAATAGGAACACTATATCATTAGTTTTAAAGCATAATGAAAAACATTAAATGAATATTTGTAAGTTTTGGGCCAATTTGTAAACCAATATTATAATACTAGCCTATATCAGTTATTGGTTTTTTTTTCAATAGAATAATTGAACCGAAATTGTAACAAAAATTATATCAACTAATCAAATATTAAAATAGAATATAATAAATATCTAAATTTCAATCAATTTTATTTATTAAAATTATACATATTCATATATCTGATCATTTTTTCTTGTATGGTTTATATAACACTAGTATTTATTTATTCAATTACTATGAGCATGGTGTGGTGCAATGGATTATTTAGTAGCTATATAAGCTTCGAATTTCAGCTGCGCTGTTTGCTATTGGTTTATAGATGGATGACCATACAGGACTTTTAACAGTGACACACACCTTGCCATCATACTGGTTCTTACCGCCATAATAAGGTTGTGTCGAGTTAAAAGTCAATGTAAAATACAAATCATTAAGGCAAAGACGATCCCAAATAGTTGGGATAGAGACTATGGTCATAATGTTTTATTAAATTACTATATTCATTATAATATAAATTAAATTGTTATTATTGTATATAAAATTTGTAATTCTTTATTATTACCAATAAAAATAAATTAATGTTCCTAGGACCAATGATATAATTCTGGAGTTTAATTTTAATCTTCCCTCTTAGCACAAGCAAGGGAAACATCAGATCAATAAAAAAATATATATGTTAAATGTGATCATGTTATTAAGGTAGTAAAATATTTGTGGCGATTCCGAATGAAAATTACCCTGATGATGTGGATAGTTTTCCTAGTTCCTAGGGTTACCTGGTAACATCATATAAAGCTAATCATCTTATTTTAATATACATAGTTTCATACTCAAGAATATTGTAATCTGATTTTATTAATATTTTGGTCAGTTATTTTTTCTTGCATAGTTGGGAAATTTTATTTTATGTACACAAAAATGGTAATGAAACTCATTAAGTTAAAAAAAAAAAAAAAGTTAAGAAATTTTTTTTATTTAAGATTGACAAGCTGACAGGATACTAAGAAATGAATGATGCAAACAACTCAAGCAAAATAATTAACTAAGCCAAACAGATATTCTCCAGAAACTTACACCTAATGAATAGATCTCTACACAAAACTTCCAAGAAAATCTGATACTAATAAAACTCTGTATCCCATAACATCAGTCAGTTTTTTTTGAAAACTCATTTGTACACTGTATATAAATAAAATTATATAAATAAATTAAAATGTGTTCAAGAATAATTACTCCTTTAATAAGAAGGATCACATGATTGTTTTTAATCATATATTTATAACTATAATATACAATTTACAAGATGTTCATATTTTAAAAAACTCAAAAGCTCATAATAAATATAACAACTTATTACTGTTATATAAAGCGATTTGAGAGAACTGATAATCATTGTTTGTAATTTGGCAGCATATATAACAGTGGTTTCAAAGATGTTGAAATCCCATACTTTACTTTTACCTTTACTTCTTCTACCTTAAAGGAGTAAAATAGATGAATTTTAAGTTTTAGTATGCTAGAATACATTACAAAAATATGAACCCTGTGGCTTTATAAAAACTATTGGCTTGTAAATTATTAAAATAAAGTTTTTTTTCATTTAAAAAGGATATAAGGAAAATATACTCAATATCATCAAACTACTTCTATGTTATCAAGGAATTAAAAAAACAAAATAACACATTATTTTAGCTTATAATCATTTAAGTTACTATTTTGACCCTTTTACATGTTTTCTGCTTTTTTAAAGACATTTACTAATGTTTTTTAGTCAATTTTAACAATAGTCTTAAAATAACATTACTTCATCAAATTAAATACTAAATAGATATTTTTATTTAAAATTGATGACTCAGCTAAATTAAAGTACACATACTAAAAGTTTTTTATGGTAGATTTACTAATTTATTTATTTATAATAGATTAGTAATTTATTTTGAATCAACTTTTATTTAAGATATTACATTAGTTAAACATAAAGATATTAAAAAAGACTATTACACAATTTTTTTTAATCAACTCGATTAAATTAATTTACAAATTCAAAAAAATGACATAATGTTAATAAAATTTAATGTCATAAATAATTGAATCTGACAAAAAATAAAACATAGAACTAGCTAACACTTTTCTGATTTTTTTATATTTAAGAGAGCTTTTTATTTGATTCATTAGAAACAACCAATTTTTGTTCAATTAGAAATAATAAGGTATATCTAAAATATTGTTATTAAATTGTATCATTGGATTCCACTATAGAAATCACAAGCCTTATAAATAGCTCTAGAACTTATACACACTAACAATAAAATTTAGAAATTAAAATTATGACTCACAGCTTTCTATAAAAATAATAGTATTATTAATTTTCCTACACCAATAATTTACTAAAAAATTTTTTAAACAGATGAGTACTTTTTTGGTGGCGTAACTAGCAAGGCAAAATATAGCAAAAGAGTATTATCGGCATGCACATAGATGCACAGACAAGTTAAGAAAATTTCTTATATATGTAACAAAATTATTATTGGAAAAATAATAGTAAAAATATTAGCTGTTAGAGTCATATTTTTAGTTGGCTAACCTCAAAATTTGTTTGTGCCGATGAATCATCTTCTATAATTAAACTTGTGTGTATATCTAACAAACGAAAATAAAACTATTTAGAAACTAATATTTTACTTAAAATCAGTTTAAAAACCAAAGCAAAATTATTGTAGCTGTTGAAAAAGTTAATTTTAGAATTATATACTTATTATAAATTGATATATTAAAGAATTTAGTATTTTCACTAAAATTACTCACTGTTAATAGAAATTGAATCATTAACAGTCACTACAGTAGAATTTGATGTTTTAATTGGAGTATCATTAGTAGAAGAAACTTCATGTTTTATAACAATATGTTTATGATGGATGTTACTTTCAGTGTTGTTAAAAGTCGATGTCAAATTTAAGTTTGAATTGGAACTAGAAATAAAATAAACATAAGTTTTTAAATAATAGAATACAATTTTTCTTTAACATCATCATATTGAAAAATTATTCAATATTGTAATAAATATCACTAGAATTGAGTACATAAGTTTTATTAAAATTATGTCTTTTAATAAGTTTATGTAAGTTTTATTATAATTATATAAATTTCAAGACAAAAATAAAATAATAAGGAATACTCTAAATGAGTCATCTAGTTATAAAAGGACATAAATCTAAAAAAATAACACATATTTAAAATATATAAACTTAACCCTTTTATAATTCTAAGTGATAAAGTTTTTTTTTTTTTTTATCTCATTGTGAGTAATTTATCAGTAAAGTAGTATAAATCAAATTTTTGTATCAAAAAATCTGATGTATGTATTTTTTACAATAAAAAAAATACCTCTTCATAACATGGTGTGGTAATTAAATAACAAGAACTTTTTATTTATGTGGCAATGGATCATACTGAGATAGTCAAAATTCCAAAATTATAAAATACTAATGTTTTTACAACTATCTACTAGTGATATACAAACTATTCGATTTTTATGCCGTATTGAACTTGGGGAGTCTGGTTCAGTTTGAAAATTATTCTTAAAATTAAAAAAAACAAATCAACTTTTCCATAGTAAATTGGTTTGAAAATCAAACTAGTATAATTTTAGGATAATACTTATTTCTTTTTTTTTGACTGGGTGTTAATTTTTGTACAAGAACTCATTCCATTTAATTATACTGACTTATGAAATTACACAATGTTATTAAATGGTTGTGAAAAAATCTTAACCTTAATGTGTCTATTCATCCATATTCTGTAACAGTTTTCGACTTAGAAAAAGAAAAGCATTGTACTTTCCTACAATATTTTCTTTTACATATACTGGCTTTTTTGTGGGCTACCCTAGAACAGCTGTTAGGCATTATTTTAGGGTATTATATGCCGTCTATAAAAAACTCACACTATTGTGTTTCAGCCCGAAACGAATACCTTGAATGTGGTCTATTGCCTGGACTGTACCACATGGTCCCTGCAACCCAAATTTAACCAAACACAAACTAGTAAACTTCCTTTCATGAAAACCCTATTAAATGTAATCATAATGGAAACTTTAGAGATATTTAAAGAGTGTTAATATGTGTTCTGGCCACAGCTATCTAATAAGAAATAGATAACGGTGAGTAGTAACTAGAGTAGATAATCGTGGTTCTACTGAACCTTATGTTCGATAATTTCAATGGTTATTTCCAAAAATGAAAGAAGTGCTGAAATAATTTTATCTGATTTGAAGATATTTATTGTCAAGGTAAGGGTGAAATAAAAATTCTTGTTTTAATTGCCACATATCATGCAAACATCCAATATAAAGTTTTGGGTCTCATTACTAAACTTTAAAATTTGACCAAAAAAAATTATCTTTAAATAACAATTAAAAGAAAATGTCATTAAAACATAACTTAGGTCCTCTAAGAGATTAAGTCAAGGTATTAGGTGACTATCTCTTTTAGGGATTTTTTAAATGTATTGAATAAAAGCATGATTGTGTCAAAAAAGGTTTTTTATCATACTTCTTAAATAATTCTATACCATTTAATTCATGTTTCCAGTTTTTTATGCATAAATGCATATTATTTTGAACTTTTAAAGTGAATATAAATCTGTACACAATAGTGAAGTTAATCTTAGAAAAATGTATACTCAGTTATTATGTTTTACTCACTTAGCTAAGTGGTCCTTAATCGAATCTATAGTTATATCTCCAACAGAAAGGTCATTACTATTGTTTAGTTGAAAATTATTATCTCCATTTTCTTTTGAACTTTCCAAACATCCTATATAAAAATAAATAAATTAATAACAAAACTGATAATATATCTAAACAAACCAACCATTAATTTTTTGAATGTTTTCATCATGATAATCATTAACAGGCGTAGTTGATCGACTATCAGATATTCTATTTCTTCCTGGTAAATTTAATGTACAGTCTACTTGGGTTACAATATTTGCAGAAACAGAAATTCTTTGAAATTCACTGCTTGAGTGCAAGTACAAAGCTTCACCATAATTAGTAAATGTTAGGCTTGAAATACCGCTAAAAAGTAAGAAATTAATAAATTATTATTGAAATAATTAGGAATACTCCGAGTATTATATAGTTTTACCAGAATCAAAAGATTTGATGCAAAAAGGAGTAGCACAAAATTTTCTATTTTTTAAGAGAAATATTAACAAATTTTTATACATCCATATAACACACAATGACGATATATAATTTATTTCAGGGATTCAATCCCTGTTTTATATAAAATCAAATTATATAGAAAATAATGGAGTGGAGATCTTCATGTTCAAAATCCTCATTCATTTTTATCTATTCCTCTGATTTAATTAATATGATATCACTAGTGTAATTTTATTGATACACAAAAATAAGTTATTTAATTTTATAGGAACTATTTTTTACCATGAGAAAAATATATATTTATACATTTTATTTTTCTTTTAGGTTGTAAAAAAATGTGTTAATAGGCATTAAACTAATGCCAGGTTTACACAAACAAGCTATTAGTAGTACTGTTTTAAACACCAATGAAATTGGAATTCTCCATATAGAATCACATATAAATTTTTTAGATGCAATTATTGCACTTGCATGCCAATACATATTTCTACCAGCGGATTAATATTTACTATCTGGTCAATTAGTAATGGTGTCTATAAAAGTATGTTTATGTAAGCCTGGTATTATAGGTCAGATATTTATTTGTATTTTATGTATACAAAATTTTTTTACAGTACAATCAGTATTCATTACATAAGTATTAAAAAAATATCAAAGTGTAATTACTTAATATCTTCTCGGCGAATTACAGCAGCTTGTATTTGTCTTTTAAGATCAGGTACACTAAGAACAATTACTTCGCCTAAGTTAGTTAAACACAATAAACAATTTTCAACATAATCTTTAGTTTTGAAAAAAGCTATAGAAATTTTTCGAACACGAGCACCTTCAGCCGCAGTTAACTTGAGCTTACACACAGGTTTTAAATTAGGCAATGAAAATATCTAAAGCAATAGAAAAATTATGTAAGTGTCAACTCAAAAGCTGATGTCAATTTTAGCAATTTTTCAAGAGAGTAAAAATAAGTTTTAAATTTCAATGACATCATCAAATTAACATAATTGAAGTACAAAAAATCATACCTTACCTTTAAAATAGTCACATTATTATTTAAATAGATACAGATAACACATTTTTTTACATATAACATGATTAATACAAAAAACATAATTTTGTGTCTTATCACTTAACGGCTGCCATATAAAAAAATAAAACACTAATTTATAGTACCTTAAACTGTTCTTCTGAGGTGATTATTACTTTATGTGGACCACATATATCTAAAGGTTTAGTAGAAGAGTAATTTTCTAACAATTCTGTAACTGAACGATTTTCTGAATCTACTACTGTTATTCCAATTACAGGAGCACGATGCTTTAATTGAATTTCTTTCCCTAGTTGCGAAGTAACTCTTCTTTCCTTACGTTTATCATTAGGAGGAATACTAATGGTAAATATATACACAGATCCATTATTGGTACCGGCCCAGATAGTTGGTGTAATATGAGAAGCTACAATTAAAGAAAAAAATATATACATATTGATTAAAAATGTTAAATAGTGTTATTAATTGAACCTGTGACAATGAAAGTTTTAGCAAAACTCAAACATCGAACCATGCTTCCTTGGCAATCATCAACAGATCTAGCTTCAATTGCTCTTTCAACTGGTCTTGCTTCCATAGGAGATGTTGGTAAAGTACTAATAAAATTTTGTATTTTATGTGCAAAGTTAATGTAATGAATGATTTTTAATTTAATAAGAATTACCAACCCTTCACGTTTTTTATCAGGTGTAATACTACCAGATTTTTTATCATTTGAGATTCGTGTAGAATTTCTACCTTTCCTAAGTCTACGAAATGATTCACGTAACGATTTTTTGAATGATTTTCTTCTAGATATTGGAACATCTCCAGCAGTTGACAAATCTAAAAAAAATTGTTCACTTTTATTAAACTATAAAAAATAAAAAATCAGAACATGTTATGAGAATGTGCGGATGAAGTGAAAATTTTTTCAGAGTCATTCAAATGATAGAATATTAGGTTTATATTTGAATAAAATAAAAATATACACCGAAAAATGTTGTTAAAAATTGAAATTAATATAACTTGCTTAAATTTTCTTATTCTATTGTCACAAAAGACATAATGGGCTTATGATAACTGAAATAACTAATGTAAAGTTTTTATGCACATCCGAAATTATTTGAAATTAAGTTTTTTATTGAATTTTAAATAATATAATTTTAATTTTCGAAAATAGAGGGATAAATTATTAAATGATTCAATACTTACTATTATTTATTAATAAAATTATAAAAAAATAGTATTTAATTTTACTTGCATGAATATATATTATTAATTAAACTT